CGGCTAATGTTTGTATTTTTAGTAGAGACCGGGTTTCACCATGTTGACCAGACTGGTCTCGAACTCCTGACCTCAAGTGATCCACCTGCCTTGGCCTCCCAAAGTGTTCAGATTACAGGCGTGAGCCACTGCGCCTGGCCACTATTTGATAGCATAATAGGGTGACTATAGTCAATAATAACTTAATTGTATATTTTTAAATACAGAGTATAATTGGTTTGTTTGTAACTGAAAGGATCAATGCCTGAGGGCACAGCTACCCCATTCCCCATGACGTGCTTAGTTCACATTACATGCCTATACCAAAACATCTCATGTACCCTATACATATATACACCTATATGTACCACAAATATTTTAAATAGTTTTTAAAATAAAAAATAAATTGTAAGGGAAAGAAAATTATGAATTTAGAAATGTAAAAGGTCTTAGGTAAGGAAGGCATGAGAGGATCAGGCAGAACCTTCCGTCATTGCTGGGACGAGAAGAGAAGCCCTACCTTTTCCCAACACCCTATCCACTCCTCCTGTCCCTCACCCCTCAGCTTATGTGAGACTCTATCTGTGCTATGAAACTGAAGATCTAATTCAGTGCTGTTTGCAATGTCTTGCCTCCTGGACCAGAGTTTGCAGTTGTTGAGAAAAGAGATAGTTGGTTATGTCTTGATCCCCCGCCCCCGCCTCCCCTTGAGCATTTGGGGCACAGGACACAGGAACTGGCCAGCCTGGTTCACTCTTCTAGATGAGCTGGGCAGTGGCATGTCATGTGGGTAATAGGAAGGGGTGGGGACTTCCCCGGGATATTCTGCTCCTGATCAGAAGCTCCAGTGGTGTCGGGGGAGCATGCTGGGAGGGTGTGCAGGGTGGGGCAGGTGCCCGTTTGGCCTCTGCTATCTATCTGGGGAATGCATCCAAAGGCAACTGTTCCTTATCTGCTCTTGTTGGGAGCGAGGAAGGGCCAATTTGTTCAATGATCTGTACAAAGCCGGTCCCTCTGGCCAGAGTTGCTTCACTCTATATAGAGATTGTATCTTGGTTAGCTCTTCATTCATGGCAAGATCAATGTTTCTCTAAATTAATCCCAGGTATTGTTTAAAAGCAACTAAAAATGATGAAATTGTGAAATTTTGAAACTCCCTGAATGTAATGACAAGGAAACTAACATTGTTATATTGGTTGATGCTCCTGGCCAGAAGAGAGAATATTAGCAGGGATAAAAGGGATAGGCCACACGCATTTTCCACCCCAGTGCTGAGAACACGATGGGGGAAAAAGGGAGGTGGCCACAGCCCACACAGTCTCTGCCAAGCTACTTTCTTTTTTTTTTTTTTTTTGAGACAGAGTCTTGCTCTGTCACCCAGGCTGGAGTGCAGCAGTGCGATCTCAGCTCATTGCAACCTCCACCTCCCAGGTTCAAGCGATTCTCCTGCCTCAGCCTCCAGAGTAGCTGGGATTACAGGCACCTGCCACCATGCCCAGCTAATTTGTTTGTATTTTTAGTAGAGATGGGGTTTCACCATGTTGGCCAGGCTGGTTTCGAACTCCTGACCTTAAGTGATCTGCCCGCCTCAGCCTCCCAAAGTGCTGGGATTACAGGTGCGAGCCACCACTCCCGGCCCCAGCTCCTTCCTTCCTTCCTTCCTTCCTTCGTTCCTTCCTTCCCTCCTTCCCTCCCTCCCTCCCTCCCTCCCTTCCTTCTCTCTTTCTCTCCTTCCTTCCTTCCTCCCTTCCTCCTTTCCTTCCTTCTTCTTTCCTCCTTCTTTCCTTCTTTCTTTTCCTTTTCCTTCTTTTTCCTTCCTTCCTTCCTTTTCTTTTCTTTTCTTTTCTTTTCTCTCACTTTCTCTCTCTCTCTTTCTTTCCTTTCTTTTCTTTTCTTTCTTTCTTTCGACAAAGTCTTGTTCTTAACTCCTAGCCTGGAGTGTGACAGCACGATCTTGGCTCACGGTAACCTCCGCCTCCTGGGTTCAAGCAGTTCTCTTGCCTCAGTCTCCTGAGTAGCTGAGATTACAGGCACCTACCATCACTCCCGGCTAATTTTTGTATTTTTAGTAGAGACGGGGTTTCACCATGTTGGCCAGGCTGGTTTCGAACTCCTGACCTTAAGTGATCTGCCCACCTCAGCCTTCCAAAGTGCTGGGATTACAGGCATGAGCCACCATGCCCAGCCCCAGCTACTTGCTTTCTATTGGAATGAACTTCATGGTTAATAGTCAGTTAGTGACTGCAACTTTTGAACTTTTTGTTCATAGTGAAAAACATTTTAAGTGATGCTTACCACATTATGTTTCTTGCCATTTGAAAAAAAATCTTCCTTCAGACAGAATGCAGAATAAAATACAACAGAAAATCTATACAGATTCACAGCCTGATTTAAGTTAATCGGTTATAGAGAAAGAAAGTCTTCTAAACCCTATGAAAGGTTAACAGTTCTCTGTTATTTTTCCCTGTATGCTATTTGATGATTTCCCTGTGAACTCTGATGATTTATTGCCAGAATTCCAAACATAAGATGTGAATTTCACAAAAATGGAGGAAAGGTATCTATTTTTCATTGGTAGAGGAAGCCAAAGCATCCCTTCTTCACCGCACTAAAAGCTGTTGTTTACATTAAGCAAACCTCAAATGTGAACGTCTTTTTACGCAAATGCATTTAATGGATGAATGTTGTCTTTGGGACAGTATTCTTCACTCCATCTGGAGAGTCTGGCGTTCCGTAATCACCATGTGATGACGGCTGCCCTGACAGTGGCTGGAGGCAGCACATGCCCCCTGAGCCTCTCCGTGATGTGATCTGTGGGCATCATGTGACCATTTTCAGAAGGGAAGACAGTTCTGGAAGCTAAAGGTCACCTAGTCAGCCTCGTTGGGCGATTGATGACTCAGCTGGGTTCAGGGAGGTGGACCTGGGGCAGAACCTCTAGAAGGTAGTGGTGGGCAGGGCGGTTCAGCCAGGTGGCACCTGGGCAAAGGTGCAGACGTGAAATCCTGAAAGCAATTCTCGGTGCTGCTGGGTTTCCAGGAGGTAGAAGAATGGTGACAAGTGCACCATCAGGTGGGGACAGATGTGGAAGGGCTGGAACAGTGTGCTCGGGAGACTGGGCTTCAATCTGGAGGTCCCAGGAAGTGGTTTAAGATGTTTCAGCGAGAGCATGATACAGACTAACCTGGGAAGAACCGCTGCTTTGTCACTGTACCCCTATGGAAATGCTGTTCGCTTTGCTAGTTGAAACAGCCCACCATTGTCTGAGACTCACCCAGTTAGATTTGTTTGGACTCCACAAAGTATTCTTGACCATACCATCACAGTCGAGGACCCCCTGCATGAGCTGCCTTCATGGCTACAGGGAGAGCACACCCAAGTGGATATCACACCCAGCACACATGCCACCAGCTTGGCCCTGCTCCCTGCGCCCCATGGGCAGCCTGAGCCACACTGGCTGCCTGTTGTTCCTGGAGTGTGCCAGCATGTTTCAGTCCTGGCTGGAGCCTTTGCACTTGGTGTTCTCTTTGCTGGAACGTTCTCCCCCAAGACATTTACACAGCTTGCCCCCTCATTCCCTGAGGTTATCTCCTGCCCCCTAATCAGTGCGACCTTCCCCGGCCTCACCCCGGACACTCCACATGTGCATTCGTTTCTTTGTTCACCGTCTGTGTCCCCGTTACAAGGGAGGCTCCCTGAGAGCAGGGATCTGGTTTTTGTTTGTTGTTGTTGTCATCGTTGTTTTGAGGTGGAGTCTCACTCTGTCGCCCAGGCTAGAGTGCAGTGGTGCAATCTCAGCTCACCGCAACCTCCACCTCCTATGTTCAAGGGATTCTCCTGCCTCAGCCTCCTGAGTAGCTGGAATTACAGGTGCCCACCACCAAGTCCGGCTAATTTTTGTATTTTTAGTAGAGACGGGGTTTCATGGTGTTGGTCAGGCTGCTCTCCAACTCCTGACCTTGTGATCCGCCTGCCTCAGCCTCCCAAAGTGCTAGGATTACAGGCATGAGCCACCGCACCTGGCCCTGTTTTTTTTTGTTTGTTTTTGTTTGTTGGTTTGTTTGTTTTTGAGACACAGTCTCACTCTGTTGTCCAGGCTAGAGTGTGATGGCACGATCTTGGCTCACTGCAACCTCCACCTCCCAGGTTCAAGCGATTCTCCTGCCTCAGCCTCCTGAGTAGCTGGGATTACAGGCGCCTGCCACCACGCCCAGCTAATTTTTGTATTTTTAGTATAGACGGGCTTTCGCCATGTTGGCCAGGCTGGTCTCAAACTCCTGACCTCAAGTGATCCACCCGCCTTGGCCTTCCAAAGTGCTGGGATTACATGCGCGAGCCACTGTGCCCAGCCCAGGGATCTGTGTCTCCACTGTGTCCCCAGCACCTCAACCACATTTTATGGAGCTCCGCACAGCTGCTGAGTCAGTGATGGCTGAGTGAGTCCTGGCCCCACAGGCTGCAGCTCCTGCAATGAGTGAGTCCTGGCCCTCGGGCTGCGGCTCCTACAACATTTTGTTTAAAGGTTTTCACTTTCACAGCGTGCTGATCAATAGCCAAGCCCAGAGGAGAGGCTCAGCACTGTTCCTGTTTAGATGATGAATTCAGGCGTATCTTCGATGATAAATGACGTTGCATTTCAAAACAAGCAAGTGGCCAGGCGCAGTGGCTCACACCTCTAATCAAAGCACTTTAGAAGGCCAAGGCAGGCGGATCACCTGATGTCGGAAGTTCGAGACCAGCCTGGCCAATGTGGTGAAAGCCCGTCTCTACTAATAATACAAAAAAATTAGCCAGGCGTGCTGGCGGGCGCCTGTAATCCCAGCCACTCAGGAGGCTGAGGCAGGAGAATGGCATGAACCCAGGAGGCGGAGCTTGCAGTGAGCCGAGATCCAGCCTGGGCGACAGAGCAAGACTCCGTCTTAAATAAATAAATAAATAAATAAATAAATAAATAAATAAATAAAACAAGTGAATGTTGTTATACGTCAATCTTACCAGTTGTTCCTCTTTCCTCCCGGTAGCTTGGAGCTTGGCTGCGCAACCAACACCGTCCAGTCACGATGGTGGACACAGAAAGCCCGCTCTGCCCCCTCTCCCCACTCGAGGCTGGCGATCTAGAGAGCCCGTTATCTGAAGAATTCCTGCAAGAAATGGGAAACATCCAAGAGATTTCGCAATCCATCGGCGAGGATAGTTCTGGAAGCTTCGGTTTTACAGAATACCAGTATTTAGGAAGCTGTCCTGGCTCAGATGGCTCGGTCATCACGGGTAAGTGTGCTGTTTCCTGGAAAGTTTTATTTAGAAATGTTTCTTCCTAAAAAAAGCTGTTCTTTTTTACCTGGAAAATAAGTCACACTTTTTTGCAAGGAAACCTTCGGAGGTGGTAAGGCATCACCTCCAGTGCCACTGGGCCCTGGAAGGCACGTGTCACGGCTCACGGTGCTCCCCCTTGTGAAAACCATGCATGCATCAAACAATGCTTGAGATTCAGTCACGGGGAGCAGCTAAAGTACACAGACCCTAACCCCAGCAAGCCCACGGGGGACAGCTAGACATTTTTAAGAGGAGACGTGTGCAAGGGTCTGCACAGAGGCACAGTTGGTAAGAGGGAAGGATGGGAAACAAGCTGGACATGCGTCAAAGGGAAACAGATAAATTGGGATGTGTTTATACAGTGGCATATTTCATAGCAATTTAAAAGAATGGACTAGGCCAGGTGCGGTGGCTCATGCCTATAATCCCAGCACTTTGGAAGGCTGAGGCAGGTGGATCACTTGAGGTCAGGAGTTCAAGACCAACCTGACCAACATGGTGAGGCCCCATCTATACAAAAACATTTTTTAATTAAAAAAAAAAAATTAGCCAGGCATGGTGGCGCATGCCTGTGGTCCCAGCTACTCAGGATGTCGAGGCAGGAGGACCAGTTGAGCCCAGGAGCTCGAGGCTGCCATGAGCTATGATTGCCACTGCAGCCTGGGTGACAGTGTGACCCTGTCTTTAAAACAAAAACAAAAAAATTAAGAAACATCAAATGAAAATAAACAAGCTTAATGATATATTTAAGATCCAATTAATGTAAAATCTTTTATTTACTTTTTTTATTTTTTGAGACAGAGTTTTGCTCTTGTTGCCCGGGCTGGAGTGCAGTAGTATGATCTCAGCCCACTGCAACCTCCATCTCCCGGATTCAAGCAGTTCTTCGGCCTCAGCCTCCCTAGTAGCTGGGATTACAGGTGTCTGTCACCACGCCTGGCTAATTTTTGTATTTTTAGTAGAGATGGGGTTTCACCATGTTGGCCAGGCTGGTCTCAAACTCCTGACCTCAGGGGGTCCACCCGCCTCTGCCTCCCAAAGTGCAGGGATTGCAGGCCTGAGCCACCGCACCCGGCCCACGTAAAATCTTTAACACTAAACAATCTAATACATCACTGTTGGAAACAGACATACATATATTGCAGGCTTTAAAGACTCAGTCGCCTCCTGAACAAGACGAAGGGAGAATTGGGGAGGGCTCCCTTGGGACTCCAATTCTCTCTAGGTTGTCTATTTTTAAGACTCCAGCAGTGTGATAAACCTGGGTGGTGTGTACATGGGTATTACAGTCATGTTGCTTAATGACAGGGACAGGTTGTGAGAAAGGCATCCTTAGCGATTTCATCATTGTGTGAAAGTTATAGAGTACACTTAAACAAACCCAGATGGTACAGCCTGCTGCACACTGAGGCTCTGCGGTGCAGCCTGTTGTTCCCAGGCCACACAACTGTACAGCGTGTTACTGTACTGAATAGCATTGGCCCCTGTGACACAATGGTAAGTATTTGTGTGTCTACACATACCAAAACATATAATAGAAAAGATTACGGCAAAAATCCAGTATTATCATCTTATGGGACCGTGATGTCACAGTTGAACTTACGGTCTGTTGTTGACCAAATGTCACTGTGTAGTGTGTGACTATACAGAAATAAGCTCAAAGAAATTAAGTAACTTGGCTGGGCGTGGTGGCTCATGCCTGTAATCCCAACACTTTGGGAGACTGAGGCAGGCAGATCACCTGAGGTCAGGAGTTCAAAACCAGTCTAACCAACATGGCGAAACACCGTCTCTACTAAAGAATACAAAAAATTACCCAGGTGTGGTGGCGGGCACCTGCAATCCCAGCTACTCTTCTCAGAAGGCTGAGGCAGGAGAATCGTTTGAACCCAGGAGGCAGAGGTTGCAGTGAGCGGAGATCATACCACTGCATTCTAGCTTTGGCCACAGAGTGAGACTCCGTCTTAAAAAAAAAACAAAAAAGTCCAGGCGTGGTGGCTCACACCTGTAATCCCAGCACTTTGGGAGGCCGAGGCAGGCAGATCACTTGAGGTCAGGAGTTAAAGACCAGTCTGGCCCACATGGTGAAACCCCATCTCTACTGAAAATATAAAAATTAGCCAGGCGTGGTGGTGTACACCTGTAATGCCTGGGCAACAGAGCAAGACGCCGTCTCAAAAAAAAAACAAGGCAAATTGAGTAACTTGCCACTGTTCATACAGCCAGAAAGACACAGCGCCCGGGCCTGGACCCTGCCTCTCAGCTGGCTCTAGAGGGCTGTTCTCTGCATGCTGGCATGATCGTGCCTTGTAAAAGGTGGCAGTGTTCTCAGCTTAGTCAATCAGGAATTGCAAAAGGCTAGTGAGCCCTTGAGGACTCTGGGGGGCCTTTGTGACTGAGCAGCTTTGGGAGTGACCCTGGCAGACCTTTACAGATGGTGCAAGTTTTGACTCCCTTTCTTCTGGCGCATTAAGCAGAGGATAAGCACTGTGGAGAGAGTGAAGGTTTAGGGAGAAGATGGCCCCCAGAGCAGTGCAGGAGGGGACAGGGAGGCTGGGGGAGAGCAAGGAAAAGGCTCCGCATCAGGTGGCGCCTTGAGTGGCCTGGGTAGGTTGCTTGCAGCGAACCCAGGTTAATGGCTTTGACAATGACTGCCATTGCTTCCTGAGCACTGCAGGCTGCCCACACACCTCTCACCTCCGCTCGCCTAAGCCCAAGAGCAGCCTTGTGAGGTCATTGTTATGTTTATTTAAGGAAGGAGGAAAGGAGGCAGGCCCCAGGACATCCTGACTGGCCGGAGATCACCAGCCCAGAACCCAGCCCTTAACCCCACAATGTGTGACCTTTCTTCACCCATCACAGACACACCCCATGCTGGTTCACTGTTCACTGACGATTTGTGCTATTTATCAGAAAAACTTTTTCTTTATGGGTTTGAAAAGATTTATTTTGCTTTTGTTTGTTTTTCTTTTTTGCCTTTCTTTTTTAAGGAAGGCAGGCTCCCCCAGCCCCACCCCCAGGGTGAAAAATATAGTTCATTGTCTAGTAAAAGAGTTCAAAGATACATTTTTTTCTCTGGATAAAATATACTCTAGAGCTTGTTCTGAAATACGGAATTAGTGTGAGCTGCGGGAGTGGGTGGGTGTGTGGCTCTAGCTCTGGAAAGTTCTTTCCCGGCAGTGGCTAGGAGGGCTGCCCAGCCCCCTCTCGCCTCCCCCGGCAGGTTAAACACAGGACCCCTTATTCTGTGCTCTCTTCTGACCCCTGGTCCTCATGCAGGAGGGAACCCTGTTCTTCTAATTAGATGCAGGGATCCTTTTCTAAGAGTAGCGTATTTTAGGTCATTGTTAAGAGCTATAATCTAAAACGTATTTTTAACTCATCTGAAAGTTCTGACAGAGGTAAGGCTTGAGAATTTCCTGCATACTAGCCTTGTGGTCTATATAATCCATTAAAAGCCACATTTAATCCAATTCCACAGACTGAACTGTGCTTCCTATCTAAATAAATTAAGAGCAGGCGGGGCACGGTGGTCACTCCTGTAATCCTAGCACTTTGGGAGGTCGAGGTGGGTGGATCGCCTGAGGTCAGGAGTTTAGACCAACCTGGCCAACATGGTGAAACCTCATCTCTACTAAAAATGCAAAAAAATTACCTGGGCATGGAGGCATGCACCTCTTAAGCTTAAGGACATATTTCTTAGGATCCAATTAATATAAAATATTTTATTTTATTTTATTTTTTTATATTTTGAGACAGAGTTTCACTCTTGTTGCCCAGGCTGGAGTGCAGTGGTGCAATCTCGGTCTGTAATCCCAACTACTCTGGAGGCTGAGGCAGCAGAGTCACTTGAACCCAGGAGGCGGAGGTTGCAGTGAGCCAAGATCACACCACTGTACTCCAGCCTGGGCAACAGAGTGAGACTCCGTTTTTAAATAAATAAATAAATAGCAAGGGTTCAGGGGAGGAGAGAGAGGGTTCCAAATTTGTTTTGAACCAATTCCAAGGAACTTGATGGCAAAAAGAAAAAAAGGGAGAACTTATAAAAAGTGACCACACTGAATTGTCCTGGACACACATCCCTGGTTTTGACCACTAGCCTTTGAAGTAGCGAGTGGGGTGATAACCCGTTTTTATTTCCCTCCCAGCATTTCCTCACTCTTATTCATCCATGTGGTCATTTGTACTCATCTCACAATTCTTAAAACCTCTTTGCTTTCTTCCGGGTTTTACTGTACTGTTACTGCAAAGTCTGAGAGATGAGGTTATTTAAGATTATTTCTTATTTGTAAATTAGATCTTTCATCTTTGTATCTAATCTGATCTTTTGGGTAATATTCCTAGTTAGGTAGACTGGTCTCTCAGAAGGGCCAAATATTAAATGCACTTACTTTAAACTTTACACCCAGGAGACCGGATGGGTGAGGCTGGTTCACTCGGCCAACGTACCTTTTTACCCCTGGTTTTTCTTCCCGGCTTTACTGCCATAATTGACATACAATAAACGGCACATCCTTAAAGGTTACAGTCTGATAGGTGTACACACACACGCTGTGAAATCATCATCCACTCAAAATCGTGATGCAGAATTTTTGCTCCTTAGTTCAACTGAATCTGGGTTCTTGTGTCATGACCAGGAAAAATTAGGCATGTGGACACATTGAAGGGTGAGGAGAGCAGTATTAGGTGAAAAGGAAAAAAGAGAAAAACTCTCAGCAAAGCTAGAGGGGATCCTGCCAATGGGTTCCCTGCTCACAGACTGATAACCAGGCCACCACACATGAGCTGGAGGCCAGGCTCCTCCCCGCTGCGCAAGGTGAGAACTTCCCGTGGCTCCACCCCATTCTCCCAGTCCCCAGGTGGGTCCCCATCCCTTGCGGGCCTGTCCAGACAAGGGAACCCTGGGCAGGTTCCCTCATCTGCACAAAAGCATCTGATGTAAACACTGATGGGGC